AGGTGGTGAAGTCAACGTTATGAACGACTTAGATCCATAGTTGAGCAGGTAATAGCGAACAGTTTGGGGATCCTTAAAGTATATTGTGGACGTCGTGAACAACACAAAGAACTCTTCTACTCTATACCTACCTTTTCGGCTCCAAGATTCTTATTGCGCTAATGTGTGCGCAGTAACCTGCACGCAGCATAAGCAGGATGAACAATTTCTCAGCATAACTGAAGGCACAGACGAAAGGGGAATGCTAAGAGTATCCCATATTTTGTAAATGAGAGAGTGAATCTGGCGATCCACAGCGCATAAACAAGAGAAAAGCAGAGATTTCGTTATACACGCCAAAATGTCGACAATTAATTGAGTTGGACACGCAAGGCATCTCTACGACAATCGTGGACAAGAGCGATCAGCGACTGGATTTCTCAGAATGTCAGATACAGAGCACTATGACCACCGAACCGACGCTCAGAAACAGGCTTCACAAATATCCTAGAAAAAGGATATGGTGCTCAGCTCAGTGAATCTCTAATGCAAGCAGAATCAACTGAGCTACTCTTGCATGCAAAACGGGAGAATGGGAAACTTAATGGTGCCCGCTCGATTCACTAGACGATCAGCGGTCATAATTCAGTGACGCAATTCTCGTTAACCCCTTCCGCTCCATATGGACACTATAGTGTTCATATTTAGTTAATTTTTTAACTGAATTATGTATACTCTTTCGATAGCTAATAGAAAGTGGATCCAAACAGGAAGAACAGAAAGGCCATTCTCTACATTTAATGATTTACAAAAACTTTTTTCTGAAAAAGTTTACTGACGTGTACTTAGGCTTATGATTAATTATGGCTCTTTAGTAGAATTCATGGGTGTGAAAAGTACCGAGACAGATTTCACGCAAGTGGAAAACACTTCCAAATGCAGACAGCGATACACTTGGGTAATGGACCAGAGTAACACTTAGTAAATACTAGCATGCATATCATCCATGTCAACTATGGAGCGAAGTCCTTCAGCAACCCTGTCTTGTTTAAATTCTTTCAAGCCTTTATTTTTCAAACTCTTTTTTACTGAATTCAGTTTTATGTCTCTATTTCTTTGGCATATTTTTTATTCTGCAACTGCCTTCACTGTTTATCATATTATCTCCTATTCTTAGTGAACGATGCGGCGTTTGGCGATGTCGTTAAGTGTATCCTTCAGCACACACGACTTTTGGTCTGGTTTGTCGCTGGGTGCAAACAAAACTCTTTACCTCTCCATCGAGAGACCTTTCCAAGTCAATGGATAGACTAAATATGACGCTCAATAACATCTAAGGCTCTAGGCGGACTCGGATGCGCGGCACATCTACAACGGAGTAATCAACGTCGAAAGCGTTTATTCCACTACCCTTTTTTCCTTCGTTGAATGGAACCAGGCACGCACGTTGTTCGAGATTCCTTATCCTCAATTTGATCAAAAACGGTCTTTTTGGGAGCGAATTCACAAGACGCAACATATCTGCAGGTTAGGAACACGTTCATGATAGCAAATCTCAGTCGTCATCAATGCTTTGAAGATTGGTCATCATCTGTCTTTCTAAATTTCGTAATCTTTTCAAGTAATTTTTTTGACCAAAATTTTATCCAATGATTTGTGATAATAACAAAGCCGATTTCTTCGTTAACTCCTGCTACTAACAAGCTCGCCGCCTGGGGAAGCACATGAAGTTTTCGTACTACTTGTAGCTTGGATGTTTGGGTGGGAGATGAATTCGCCTTACAAGACACGTTGAAACACTAGGGAGATCCAAAGCCGAGATGAGAAGGTAGAGTTTATTGAAGTACTTATTTTTATGGTCTTGTCAGAAATATAACACTTAGTTCAGTGGAACATGTCCATCGAACGGAGGAGAATTTTTTATGGCTAGTTCAATACAGAGGGCCGAACTTGAAACTTGAGTAATTACAGCAAGAATGGCAAAGTGAGGTTTAAAAAATAGAAACCTAAATACGCATATCTGCTGCATTCCTCCCAACGCTCTACCGGTTCAACACGGCAGGGTGGTGCTCCTGGCCGTTGGCCTGCGATGTACAGCGGAGGTTCATTTCATCAGCTAAGCCTCTCAAGTTGAGGAGTCCAACGTTTTCATCCGTTATTCCCAGCTAAAGTTACCCAATACCAGCAATTGCCACCGTTCTGGTAACAAACTAATCGCGTAGTTGATATATTTATTTATGTGATCTTATAAACTGATCTTCTTAAGATGACGCGAGGTTGGTACAGATCTTCGTTGTCGTTGCCGTTGTTTTTGATGTTATTGATCGATGGCTGACGTTTCGGCGACTTCGCCTTCCTCAGACCCTGGGCGTACTTTATGTTAGAACACTTTTTATTATTCGGTTGAAAAGAAGGTTAAAGTATTAAAGAAGATTCGAAACCGTCTCTATGATCGTTTGTGCAGCTCAGAAAACTGTATGATCTGTCCTAACGGGAGAGACGGGGATTGCATGAGTCCAGGTATAATATACTTGATCTCAGGCAACGCATGCGCCGAGGAATATATTGGGGAAACGGGTAGACCTCTTTGTGTCCGCATAAAAGAACATCTAGATGGAAAAGCTAAAATCCGTTTAAACACCCCTCTAGGTACGCATAGGGCACAAAAGCACAACGGCGATGATTTTGAAGTGAATGTGCCGATCCTAGCGCAGGAATCAAAAACATCAACGTGCAAAACTCTCGAGCCGTTTTGGATAAATTTCAAAAATCCAAAAATGAACTGGAAGGACGATTGCCTCACTATCACGCGTGACCTGGCGCCCTATTTCAAAATGATATTCCAGTCCCATATCACTGTGAGTGGCCTTTCTGTTCAATATGGCGCCTATTTAAAAGTTTGATCTTCGTTAATACTTTAACCTTTTTTCCATCGAATAGTAAAAATATTCTAATATAAAATACGTCCAAGCTCTGAGGAAGGCGAAGACGCCGAAACGTCGGCTATCGACCAACAACATCAACCACAACGAAAACGACATCGAAGACCTGTACCAACCTCGCGTCAGCTTAAGAAGATCAGTTTTTAAGATCATACAAATAAATATTCAGACGTAATTAATGCTTTATATGGCAATTGAAAACCATCACATTGTTCTTTAGTTAGCTTTCAATTGGGATTCGTTAACGTTCCTCATTTCAGGTCAGATGCTGGCCTTGATGCTAAACACGGGCTCGTCGAACCCCTGGGTGATTGACGGCGGTTTCGTCACACAGCAATGTGATGGCTTTGGCTGCCATTACTACAGACGCAAATTTAACAGCAAGAAATCGTCATCGTTTTTGAATGGGAATACCACGCTGTTCCTGAAATATGCATCAAGATGGAGCGGTGGACCACTCGTGAAGGATACCGTTTCTTTCGGCGGTGATCTTTTGTCTTGTTGAAACTATAATAAAAGAGAAGATCAATTCGGATCAGAAGTGTTCGGCATTTCAGCAGTAGACGAATTTGATGTAGTGAGATTATGAAATCATAGTTGCTATTGCACTTGGTGGTCACGAAGAGAAGGGCAGCAAACAAATGTGTATTTCCAATTCAATACCATAATCGGTCCAAAAACGGATTCCACAATAAGGGGAGTGTCACAGAAATCCAACTGCGCTCTGCACTAGATCTATTGAGCGGCCAAAGTACTGAACTTGTTGTGTAATATTTAGCCCATTTTAATCCAGTTCTTCTATCTAGAGCAGTCAGCTGATCTACCTATTGCAATAATCCCAAAAGGTTACCCTGCAGTCCACAATTTAGTCTTGATTATAAAACAAACTGTCAGCACAGTCTAACCAGTCTTCACCTTCTAATACTAGCATTCGGAGAAAACTATAACTGATTTTGCAGTAACTGCCACGACCGACTTTCTATTAACCTCGGCATTGATCAAGTGATTTTCTTCGTATTTTTGTTGAGCAAACGCGAGGTGTTACTATTCTTTGCTCACGGTTAAGCTGACGTTTCGGCGAATTTCGCCTTCTTCAGAGCCTGGAAAGGTCAAGTTGATAGCAACTCACCCGGCCAGACGCCTCCGTAACCAAACAAAGAAACTCCAAACCAAGATTTCAATCACTTTGAACACAGCTCTGCACACTCACCGCTTTCTATGAGGTTTCCACTAAGTATGTCACGTAGAGACCAACCGCACAGAAATCACGTGGAAGTATAATGTGCCCCTGGCGTCTGGCCGGATGAGTTGCTATCAACTTGACCTTTCCAGGCTCTGAAGAAGGCGAAATTCGCCGAAACGTCAGCTTAATCGTGAACAAAGAATAGTAACACCTCGCGTTTGCTCAACAAAAATACGAAGAAAATATAACTGATTTATTAGATTTATAGTGCACACTGATATGGTTCATCTGCCCACTCACCTTAAATTCACCAGTTCTGGTTTTAGGTAGCAGAAAACTCGGAGATTAGTGATTCATGCCGACATTGCAGGTCTGACGGTCAAACAGCAGGAATTCGTTGATGCCACGGGTATAGACGATAGTTTTGGCGGTATGCCCTTTGACGGCATCTTAGGGCTTGGCTGGCCAGCGCTTTCTGTAGGAGTGAGTCTGGATATATGAACATTATTAGGAATTCAATCGGCCGAAACCACTATAAAAACATATCGAATAAAACTCCTAACATTTTAGATTACTCCACCTATGCAAAATCTCCTTAGTAGTCTCGACTCACCCTTGTTCACCATCTGGATTGACAACAAGGTGGGTGGAGCCAAAGCAAAGCGATCTACTTTTAACACTTGGTTGAAGTCTATTGAATTTTTATTTGCTTCCACTTCTTTATTCTTTACGTTACTGTCTTTATTTACTTCTAAGCAATAACAGTTGCTCTGAGTTAAACACGAGTCATCTTCTGCTGTTGCTTTAGGATGAAGTAGTTCACTTGTCAAGCCAGCATTTGGAAAGAAGGAGAAATCAACAATAAATTGCAAAGTTTTATCACACTAGGAAGTCTTTAAATGAAGAGTGACGGTATTAGGCATGGAATGTGGAAGAAGTATTCGAATTTGATTGCTCTCCTTCATCTTTCTGAAGTGGTTCAACCACGGATTCCTCCTACTGATTTGTCCTATTTCCTTTTCCTTCCCACTCTTCTTGCTTGAAGAATCCAAATGTTAACGTGTTCCTTTAAAAACTAGAAAAAGAACTAAATAATAATGCACATAGACTGCATATTTTTAACGTGCTATGTCATTAATATCGATAGTGTGATGGTAGTGCCCATTTGTCATCAGTTATCTGTTTAGAAATCGCGGTAGCATCGAAACCTCTTGCCATGGAACTCGGCATAATGACGGCGGTGAAAAAAACCTTAATGTGCCGATAAATAATTTTAGCTCGATGTTGGCATGGGAGAAAATACAGGTCTGACCACCTATGGAGCGATCGACAGCACCAATTGCCATTCGAAAGTTGGTTATGCACCGCTGACCTCCGAAACGTATTGGCAATTCGCTATTGATAGTTTCTCTGTTGATACTTTTTCAGAAAAAAAACAGCGCTCAGGTAGGTAGCTAAGTTATTCAATTTTAGCTCTTATGAAGCATTTAAAATATTATGGGTTGCGCTTTCCACAAAACTTAATAAATCATGTACGTCGCTCTTTGACGAATTTTCACCAATAGGCCATCTCCGACACTGGCACATCGTGGCTTGGCTTACCTGCTAGCGTTGTGAACGTTGTAGCGAACTTGACCGGTGCCCAGTATGATCCTATCATGGAAGAATACAGTGTTGACTGCTCGACAGTCAAAACACAGCCCGATCTGGTGTTCACCATCAACGGCGTCCAGTACAATGTCCCGCCACAGGAATACATAATTTCTCTCGACAGCGGTTCTAACCAGGTAATGCACCTATTTCAACAAAAAGCACCAAATACCTGGTAATCCTAACTACATAAGAAAGATGGAGTAAAATTGTTGCTTGTGAATGCCTTGGAAATTTGAGCTTTTACTAGTTCCGTGGCAATTTCGCTTCTTCTAATTCTTTTCCAAAACAAGGTTGAAGAATTAAATACGCGATAATAGCTACGCCATATTTTTTTCGATTATTAAATAAGCACAAACTTGATAAAAAGTTTTATAGAAAGATATAGATATAGCTGTGCTATATTCCGCTAAAAATGCAGGTTATGGAATAGGAGGCTAATCAACCGCTCCTTAGCGATTTGTGGGGAACAGATTTTAGCTACCGCTCAAAAAGTGTTAACTTTCTTAGTAAGCAGAGTATTCACTCTAAAACATTTAATACTATATCTTAACTATTTATTTAACCGAGTTATGAGAAAAACTCGGTACCTCAGTTGAGTTTCGGACCGGCAGTCACCGTTACCCGGGATTCACCCATCAGCGGGAATGCTACTTGGAGCCAAATCGGCAGAGAACTCAAAAAAAAAGCAAAGCGAGAACCTTCGTAGGTGTGGTGGATTGCAAGTGAGCTCCAGTGTATTGTTTATTTAGGCACCTTGTAATCGCTTAAACAATCATTTAACTGAGCATGATTTTGCAAACTGAACAAGGAATTGCAAAATTCGCCCTTGATTTTTTAAAGGATACCTTGTATAGAAACACTGTTGACTGAAGTAGTTTTTGGATCGGATGTCGAAGCAGCATAATACAGGCTTTCGTTAACCAGAGCGATATCGGTTGATACGAATGCCTTTTGATCGAAATCTAGAGTAGTACTCATGTCGTGAGACTAACGACATCTTATGCATACCTACTTTCGGTATCCTAGTGCATGGTTTGCCAGCGATCATCGTAGGCGGGTGAGTTCCAGACGTTCCAAGAACAGCAATTCTCTGAATGGTCGGGAAAGTATTTATTTCGCACAAATGAGAGAACGGACAATGGGACAGCGACCGACAAGGCGTTGCCATTGCCTTTATCTCTAACGTAGAAACCCGAATAATAGATCACCGGCCATTACTCTAAAGCTTAAATATTAGGTGGTTTAGGTGGTTCTAAACTAAATAAGTGCTTTAAAATATTTATTGTTTAGTGTGTTTTTTACCATTAAAGTATTTTTTGTACTTACGATATTATATATTATTGAAAAGGCAATTTTATGCTTTTTCTAAAAAAGTTTTTATATTATGCCAAAAGTTGAATTTTTTCCTACGAATTTTGAGCGGTGCAATTTTAGATGTCAAAAACGAATTTTCGCCCAATTTTCTTCTATGAGTTCAAACTCGGTCGTAATGCAGCGGAGACGGCTCGAAACATTGATAAAGTTTAGGGTGAAGGTAGCGTTAGTGAATCAACAATGTGAACGTGGTTCTGGAAACTCCGTTCTGATGATTTCGACCTCGAACATGAGGAAGCCAGCAGACGTCTCAGTGAACTTGACGAGGACGAATTGAAAGCACTAGTGGAAGCAAGCAGGCAAATAACTGCTTGAGAGCTTGCAGAACAGCTTGGTGCAAGTGAGGTAAGCACTTTCCACTCACTTGAATCGCATAGGAAAGACAATAAACTCAAGAAGTGGGTGGGAAACAAATTAAAGGACAATCAAAAACGTCGCCGTTTTAAAATGTCGTCTGCTCTTATTCTGCGCAACAAAATCAGTCATTTTCTCGATCGAATTGTAACGCGAGTTCGCTTCCAGAAGTCCAGATTAGACTGCATTCAGGATCCGCGGCATTTCCTAAAACCGAAATTGTACAAAAAAGGGTTATGGTGACTGTTTGGAGGTCTGCAGCGTAGCTGCTTCGTCACAGCTTTTGCATCTGGACGAAACGATTATGGCAGAGAAGTGCAGCCAACAAATCGACGAAACGCACCGTAAACTCAAACAACGACCAGCATTAGTCAACAGAAAAAGACCATTTCTTCTCCTCCACAACGCCTGACCTCACGTTGTAAAACCAGAGCTGCAGAACTTAAACGATTTAAGCTATGAAACTTTGTCTCATCCGCTGTATTCATCAGACCCCTCGTGTACCGTACCGAGACTACCACTTCTTCAAGTACGTTGATGGCTTCCTGCGCGGCAAATGCCTCTCCAACCAAGATGTCGCAAAAATCGCCATCAACGAATTTATCTCTTCCAAATATTTCGAAGATGTAGCGGAATTTCCTTAAATTATTCTCAACTGCAAGGATTGCTGGAATTCACTGGGGATTAAGTTACCATTAAGAGAAGCTGATCGAGGGAACTTTTATTATTTTCTTCCGACAGTATGCTTACCTGGGACCAAAATAAAGTGCTAATATGGTTCAAGGAAAGAATTGCATGAGAAATACACTTTTTGATTTTGCTAAAATTCTTATAAGAAACGCTGAGTGAAATCAGCGAAATGCGGCGTCTTTCTAAATCTCCGAAAATCGAAGCACATAGTCATTTAATCCGCACGAAACACGTATTACCGAAAGTCGTGTTATTATGTTTTACAATAAAGCGATAAAGCTCCCGGCGTTGAACAGCTTACCGACCCCGGAGGAACGGAGGGTGTGCTGGGTCACGGGAGCGGGAATCAATCCCACGAGAGTATTGCAGGGCGCCACCGACCACTGCGCCACAGGTGCCCTGCGACAAAACTCCTTGTTTCACAGTATAGAAGCATTATATACACCAACTCAGATCATCGATTTCGAGAAAAAGGGAAATATCGAGATGTTAGCCGAATAAATCTGTTTACCAAACATGTGGTGGCTTACCAATGAAAGAATACAATAGCAGTTCCAGATTTTTCGCATAGTAAATAAGCATGAACGCGAACGAGAGACTTCTTGATATATACCTTTACATAGACAGTAGAACCTTTGCCGATTAACCGTAAGGTTACCTGAACTGGTAATTGATGAAACAAGAGCTCTCAGACTGCCATCGCAAGCAATCGCATCCTTTTTGAAACAGTGTGAAACTTTCTCCAGGTTGTATTTCAGCCCTTTCAGCCTAAATAAAGTTACTTTGTCACCTTTTACAACTTCTACTATAACGCACTTAGAATTTTCGATGCATTCAACTAATCTCTCTAACATTGATGCCGATGATCCGCTCTTACGTTGCTCGTGTGGCACAGTGGTTGGAGGCGCTATTGCGACTTTACGACACACACGTGGAATCGATCCCAGATCCCATGACCCACTAAGCCTTCCATCTCTCCGGATTCGACGAATTGGTACCGAACTTGTCTGGGAGGATAGCAACACCTGCTCTATATATCGATAGACTACCGTGTGTAAAGCCCAAATGTGCATTCAGTCACCTCCAAACGATGCTTGATGAAGTAGAATGCATGGCGCATCCTTCAAGGATTGATCAACGCCGAGAGCTTTATCGTTTATTCCTTATTTCTTCGCAATATTATGCGATTTTTGTGTTATTTGAATAATGTTCCATAAAGTCAAATTCCTGCCTGTACAGTGCACTGTTGCAGCTCGCACGTGTTCCTTCCTCGCAGCTAGTTGGGAAATGTTTGTGATATTTTCGTATTTCAGCAGCTGTGCAACTGTAAACACACTGGTTAGAAAATGTGTCCCTGCAATCAAGAACAGGTTATCGAAATACTACAACGTCTTAAACGAAGTGTTATTAAACCTCTCTAATGGCGGACACGTTCACGGAGAACCTTTAGGTGTTCAATGCTACGGGCTTGCATTCACCTATATAGACCACTGGGTTAAAAGTCGAGAAGCACAAATTTAAATTCCTGCGCATTTATTAGGCAGCAGAGATTGATCAGTCTGAAATATAGAGCCGGATTCCGTCGTGAGCATGTTGGAAAAGACGTACTTTGGATTCTCAGTACCTTTATTGTACGTTATTGGCATTAAATCAAGCTGTAAGTGTAAAGTAATGTGGAAGCAAACCTTTCCTTTTTCGTTTTCCAAACTATTCTACGATATTACTTCACTACCAATTTCGTTTGGAATTCCATCCATGAGTTGGTTATAAGTAGAAAGTGGATTATCAACACCAAATTTTCGCACATACGAACTCACTAGTACGCTATGCACATAAACCCGGTTTATTTTCACGCTCGTATCAGTTTACCAGTGAAGGTCGAAAACCAAGGGTTTATTCACGTCATTGAAACTAACAACCCAATTTATAGATGCCTATTGGCGCTGTCCGCTGCATGTGTTAGAAATTCGAAATAAGTTACGTACGAGACCAATCCGTTCCAAATACCATAAAAATGTATCGAAATGGCAAGTGAAGCCTTTTAGGTCACTTGATCTGAACAAAACGTGTTCATTACCCTCGAACTCCCTCCGTCTCTCCTGTTAGAACAGATCATACAATGTTGTCTTCTTACCTACTACCTTTTTACTAGTTTTCGGGGCCAGGTATTGTTTGTGAAACATCCACAGTGATGTAGAGATATTTGCAAAACTCCGGACCGCAGGTGTCTACGGTGGGGATCGGACAGGCTATTGTTCTTTCCGGGAAGTAACGCGCTCACCACCACACTATGCGGGTTCTTCGTTTGTTCCCAACCGCAGACACTTACTGTCCGGAGTTTTGCAAATATCTCAGCATCACTGTGGTTGTTTCAGAAATAATAACTTGCCATGAAAGCTAGTAAAAAGGCAGTGAATAAAAAGTCAACATTGTGAGTTTCAGCTGTAGCCTCAGCTTAACTAGGTCCAATGCCGATTTGGGAATCGCAGACCAATCCCGTTGACGGGTGATTGCTAATGACAGTGGTCGATAAAAGTAGCTGAGAGACAGGCGAAACAAAGAACTCGCATGGTGTGGTGGTGAGCGGGTTACTCTCCGGAAAGGACAATAGCGCGTTCGTCCCCACCCGACCGTAGACTTCTGCGGTCTGGAGTTTTGCAAATATTTTGGCATCGCTATGGTTGTTTCACAGACCGTACAGTTTTCTAAACTGTTTGAAGGCGATCATAAAGGCGATTGCTGACTAATTTACGGCCTA